TACTAACCTTATAGTTTTTAAGATCGTAAAGGTAAATTTTAAAAACGACATACAACCATCTAACTTTCTTAATGAAGACTTCTTAGGCTGTTTTGTCCATGTAAATTACTTGATGAAAATTAAAAAGTAATGGTTGAGAAAAGAATTTTAAAGTAGGAACAAGGTAATATAAAAATGAAGTTTTGAAAAAATCTCTTTTTAATAATAGGTTGATTTATTTCAAATTGTTTTTTCAATATTGTTATCTGGATTCATTGATTCTGTACAATTGCAGAAAAATAACTGCCACTCTTATTCCAAAACTAAAATAAACTACATTCAAGAAAAAACCCACAATGTAAGAAAAGAGACAAAAATTCAGAAGCACCAGTTAAACAAGAGATCTCTTGGATGCTTCAGAAATTCCCATAGAAATAGCTTCAACAATATGAAAATAGTGTTGATATTATTACGAATGAACACAGTGGGATGAATGTATGTACAATAAATGTGTTCGCAGGAACAAGATTTTTCACATGTAGCAAATTTTACAGTTGTGCCGGGCTACACTTGAAATGCCACCAAATGCACGATGACACATAAATTTTATTTTTGGAAGGGAAATTGCATGTTTTTTTTTATTAATTTTTATGAATCCTAAAAATTACGTTCGTTTTTTTGACAACTCATTTACATCGATTTATAAGAATTCAACATCACTACAAATTAACTTTTTTGGTGCACCAAGTTTCATCAGCAATCACAGATCACGAATCATTCATGCATAAGTTTTATCCATCACGGCAATGTATCTGGCCCAAGTTATTACTGATTATTAACAACCACCTGATATTGTCTTAAAATTGTTTAGCAACATCACAAAACCAATTGTTCGAGTTCTTTCAGAAGTTCTGATTCCTTTTTAATTTTATCCAGCTGATTGATTTCTAATTGTTTACCTTGAGCTTGTTGTTCTTTGAGTTTAGAGATTTGTTCAAGTTTTTGCTTGATTTTCTTCATTTTCTTATTTATCTCGGGATCCTCGCTAAGCTCAAAATTCGTTATTACGCTGCTAACTTTAGGCGTAGGATTATTAGTTTGACCGTTTTCAGCTACAGAACTACTTAGCGTTTGACTTTGTGCAGCTTCTAGTTCCTTTTTAGCTTTCTTGGCTTCGCGTTTTTTCTTAATTTTTAATGCATTCTTTGATAGATTCGCTGAAAATTGTTAATTTTAAATTAAAAAATTGGGCATTAAAAAAAAAATTATTCAAAATATATGATATAAATTGGGATTTCATATCCTTACACTCAGTTGGTTTTGGGTCATCTAGTTCATCGTGTAATTTGAAAGTAGATGGTTGGCCTCGAGCAGATGGAGGGCGATAAACTTGTTTAGATGCTGAACAAAGAAAAATTCATGTAACAAGGATAACTTACGTAATTTGATTGTAATGAAAAAAGTCACCTTGAGGTTGACTAGGTGCGATACCCTCAACTGCCTTATAACTAATCGGCTTTTCCTTAAAAGTACCTTCAGGAAACTTTTGCCACGACACTTGCCACAACTCTTCTTGTTTATTCCAAGGTCTTTCATACAATAACGTTCCAGTGTAATGGAAAATTTTAAATCTGAAATGAAATTGTAATGTTAACATTTTTTCAACATAATTTTAAAAGGCTTGAATTTACTAACCCATTGCTCATTCTAAGTCGCGGAGCCGTAGTTGCAGTCATATAATGTTCACCATCAGGTGACCATTCCAAAAGAGTACTATCAGGAGCATCCGAAGTTGCAATAAGCTTTCTTTTCTCCATATCCCATAATTCTACTCCACCTCTCAAGTTGCCAAAACCAGTTAAAATCATAATATTGCCAAACGGATTAAAACAAATAGTGTTTCGATGCTTTGTTCCAAATTCAAATACTGGTTCACATTTCATGTTGAATAATGTTGCTTTTGAAGGCATGAAACCATATATAGCTAAAAATTCAGTCTGTTTAGGGGACCACTGTACTGCGTGAATGGGACCCTCTTTGCCTAAAAATTTTAATTATTTTTCAACTGATAATAAGTTAATGGGCTAATTAAGAAAGTAAAGTCAATGATAATCTTACCCAGTGTTACTAAAGCAGTTTGGCCTTTTGTGTCTAAATAGTGAAGAGTTTGTTTGCCATAATAACTTGAACCAGTTTTATCAACTTCTGCACTACTAAGTAATAGTACACTAGTGCCGTGTTTATTCCAGTAAAAATCAACCCTATCATCCTAATGAGTAAAATTTTTGTTATTTACAATTGATACAGTTTTGCTAAGGAAAAAGAAGATAATTACCTGAAAGAAACTTTTATTTGCTATTGGTTGACTTGCTTGGAATTTAGGGTATTGAAATAATCTACCAAAAGATGGTTGACCAGATTTTCCTACAAAAATTATTATAAATTGAAATCACAGCAAAAATATATTAATTAAACATATTTATTTGGAGGAAAATCTTACCCGGCATATGACACGCTACATGATATGGGGCAGTACTTGGAGCTATGCTAAATCTTCCAATTTTAGCCATATTTATCCTATGCAAAATTTTATCGAAATTGGAGTCTTCATAAAGCACCACATCGTTATTAATCAACATTCCGCAAACTTTTTCATCTTTTGACCATTCTGGTTCCCTAAAAATTCATTTTATCTAAATATTTTGCAACTTTATTTGTGGGAAAATATGTTATATCTTACCAATCTGTTTGTTTTTTGTGAACAAAACTTTTTACCAAGTTTCCACTTTTGGGATCCCAAAAACAGAGATTAGGAGTACTTTGTTGATTTGCTGGAGAAACTACAAGTATATAATTATTTAAGCACATTTCTGGAAGTGCAAATTAGGTACAAAGGTTGTATAACACAACGCAAAATTGGTATTACTAAATGGATATTTTAGATGAAAAAAATAATTAAATCGTTTTACTTACCAACGAAAGGTTCCCACGTCATGAGGTAAGTATCTTGAGGGGAAAATTCAAGTGCTTGAACTTTGGGTCTGTCGATGGTGGCCACAACCTGCCATGTTTCACAAAGCACAACTTTGACCACCATCCCATTGATCCAGGCAAAATACTTGCCTTTGTGACTGAAGGCCATGGCCTTGCAATTCTTGCTATCATCTTTGCGAAAAGATGAGACAGCATCATAGGTTGGTGGACCCTGTGATATGCCGATGCCAGTAGAACCTCTGACTGGAAGAAAAAGTATTTATTATTTTTTTACAACCAATGAAGTCTGAGATTCACAACAATGTATAAACATACAAAATAAAAAACTACAACACTTATAATTCTATCTGTCTTGTACATATGTTGTGCGAAACTGATTTTAACAATCGAATTTTTTTTTTTTTTTTTTTTTTTTCATTATTTCATAACCTTAGTGAACAAATACAAATAGTAAATTTTAATCAGGTGCAAATTAAAACACTCAAATACGGTACCTAATAGAAAACCATACAAGGGCACTAGATGATTGATTAATCATCGACGATCAAAATCCGCGTGTACTTGCTATTACTATTGTAGTAAAGTAGAACATTTTTGAAAGCCGAAAATCGCAGCTGGCATGTTCAATGCAAGTAAAATAATTGCCTAACACATGAAGATTGTTCAAGTGTTGTTGAACAAATTATAAGATAGCTATCTACCGTAATAATGAAAATAACTTACCAGCTAGACAAGGTATGGTGAACGCCATTTTATCCTCTCTTGGGTTTTCCTAACCATGTGGTGTACTTATGGAAAGTTGGAGAGTGGCGTTGAACTCAATCGATTCGATTTAAAAGGCGAAACACGCCGTGATCCGCGACGCGGGGATATAACCTATACGCTGACCCATATATATATTTATATATATATAGTTCCAATTGTTTGCCTAACCTAACATTACGTGTTCTTTTAATTCTTATCACTTTATTTATCACATTGTGATTCACTATACAATCGATTTTTTTCTATACCTAAAACCTTAGCACAACAAATCAACGATTTAGAACGCAACACGCATGACACGCTACATCCGCGTTATTTATATATTCATGCCAAATTTTCATGATATGGCCAGCTTTAGGTAAATAAATACAAACGTGTATAGATATAACGTTGTAAAAAATTCAAACTTTGCTTGGAGTGTTTTTTTGTTAAGTGTGTACTTACTGATAAGGTAATTGATGATCAGTGTGTGCACATCCCTCACATGTTTTGTTCGTTCGAGCACGCACGAGGTTGAAGAATGAATCGAACAATTGGTCACGTTTGTTTTTGATTTCTGGCTGCGAAATGTTTGTTACTTGACTCATAACGGCAATGAGCTTGGCTACTGAAAAAGTATTAAATTTACCTTGTAGTACTACCGTGGTTGTCGTTGTTTCATTTGAGAGTGATGTTAATGTACAGCTTTTTGTGCTAACGAATATGGTTTTAGTTGTGAAAAATGTATTCGACTTTCAGTAAAGTAGACGAATATGGATTTGAGCGACCCGAAAATTTTAATTATGAATCGTACGAAGAGTTTATGTCTGAATACTTGAAGGTACTTGCCAAAAGAGCTAAGAAATGGTCTGAAATAATTGGGGAAGGCAAATCAGTGCAACGCAGTATTACAATAAAAAGATACGTCCGCAAGGGTGTTCCTAGTGAACATAGAGGAATGGTGAGTTTTGTTGAGATATTTCTACATCCAAATATACAATCAATTCTACATTCAAATATTATTACAGGTATGGCTTTCTGTAAGTGGTGGAGAAGAATTAAGAAATAAATCTCCAAATTTATATCAACAGATACTAAGTGATACTCATGACCAACAAATTAGTGATATTATAAAAACAGATCTTCCACGAACCTTTCCTGACAACATATTTTTCAACAATACAGATCGTCATCAGCGTCAATTGTTTAATATCCTGTTAGCCTTTGCACATCAAAACCAAAAAGTTGGATATTGTCAAGGCTTAAATTATATAGCTGGCCTATTATTATTGGTAACAAAATGCGAGGAAACGGCATTTTGGTTGTTAAAAGTATTGATAGAAAAAATTTTACCCGAGTATTACACTCCTACCATGAAAGGACTGTGCATAGATATAGATGTTTTGGCTGAACTTGTAAGGTAATTCTTTAATTTTGTTTATTTTGAAGTCGTCTCTTTGGTTTAATTGATAAAATATGAAATGTTAACACTTCAGATATAAAGAACCAGAAGTATTTCAACATGTGACAAGAATCGGACTTCCATGGGCTGTCATAGTGACTAAGTGGTTGATTTGTCTTTTTGTAGATATTTTGCCCACCGAAGTAGGTACAATTTTCATAATCCTTTTTTTCAACGTTTAATTTATATAATTTAATTCACTGTTTTAATCATAGACAACTTTAAGAATTTGGGACTGTATTTTTTATGAAGGCAGTAAAGTAATTTTTAGAGTTGCTTTAACATTGATCAAAAGAAATAAAGAGAAGCTTCTTGCTTGCAAGGACTTTGCTGACTTAGCAGAGTGTTTCAAAATAATCACTAAGGATAGAATTGCTCTTCAATGCCACGATTTTATGCAGGTACTTCATTTAACTCACAAGTAATTTTAAAGTAACACCGAAAAATTTCTAATGATTGATTATTAAAATAAAAAAAACTTCTAGAGCATATTCAAAGTTCCTGGCTCTCTACCAAACAACACGATAATAAAGCTGCGAGCTAGAATAGAACAAATTCAAGCCGAAAGATAACGTTAAGTTTAAGAAACTTTATCCACTGACAGCCTCTAGTCAACTTAATAATAATTTTGTTATACTTTTTACATAGTTTGATACAGTTTTACCGTGTTTCCTATTTAAATGTGCTATTTATAACATAAAAATTGTTAAAATGTCTTTACAAGATATTCATGTTTGTAATTTTAGGTACAGGTATTTTAAAGTTGTTAATTGTAATTAGATGGTTTAAGATGTTAATCGCGGAGCCGATAAATTTTATGATTCTCAATAGGTACATTTTTATTTCGTTGTTTGAATAAAGCTATATATAGTAAATATATGTAGATCAGATATAAAAATGGTCTAGGGAATTCAATTGCGGCGTTTCCAGTGGTGTTGCCATTGGGGTTGGCTTTGAACGTCCCTTGCTGACCGACATATGGCTCCTGCCACAGTGTCTACGCGAAGAGTGGCAGGAGTTTCAGTACTCGTTACTCGACAACTCAGTTGTCAGTTCCGGTACTCGGATTTTTGTGCTTAAGGCTGAAAAAAAAAAATGCTACAGTGGTGGTCGTACAGTGGCAACTCGTACACTGTATCCAATTAGCATAAAAATTGTACCGACGTAGTCGAGTGTCACGAGGCATCTGGTAGCAGACTGATTGGCTGTGGATCTGAAAGAAATTTTGTAAGTGTTAAATTAAAAGCTGGTTAATAAAGAAGGAAAAAAAAAAAAAAAAAAAAAAATAGGAAATATTTACTTGGTCATACTGCTCGAGTATTTGTCTCTTCTATTGCTTGGTGACTGCAGATGCTTACCATAGACGCTCAAAGTTTTCAGGGTGCAGGATGTCTTTGGGTCCATTTCGCAGATCGCAGGCGATTATGGCGTTTTGAATATTTTTCACCGAGACCTTATCCCTGTTCCAGAACTTTGTGCACTTGATTTTTTTCAATCTTTGACGATGTAGTTTAGACATTAGTTTCTCCGACTGTCTCGTCCTGTGCCAACATTCATTTACTGCGAGCATACTGCAGAGTTGTGTGGACCGATACTCGTCCGAATTTTAAATCTGCAAGAAAAAAAAAATCATAAATGTACTTCACTTACTAAAGTAAATTAAAAAATCAATCGTTATTTTACCGCACGTACTTTGAGATTCTTCGGGACCGTATTTTTCGATCAAACTTCAATCTGGTCAGAAATTTGGTGCGCAACAGCGGTAGACGACATCTCGGTAGTAGGTCAGTCAAAACCTGGTCGCTCGGTACGTCGGTTTTTGCCTCTTCAAGTCGCTGTCGGGAAAATATTCCATCAAACTTGCGACTTTACTGCCGATTCTGGCAATATAAATATATATATAATGATATATATTTATGGAAAGTTGGAGAGTGGCGTTGAACTCAATCGATTCGATTTAAAAGGCGAAACACGCCGTGATCCGCGACGCGGGGATATAACCTATACGCTGACCCATATATATATTTATTTCATCATTTTCCTTCTTTATTAACCAGCTTTTATCTAACATTTACAAAATTTTTCAGATCTACAGCCAAGTCTGATGGCAGATGCCTCGCAGCACTCGACGACGGCGTAAGTACAATTTTTATGCTAATTGGAAACAGTGTACGGATAGCTACTGTACAACCACCACTGTAGCATTTTTTTCTCTTTCAGCCTTAAACACAAAAATTCGAGAACCGGAACTGAAACTACTGGTACTTTTCGCGTAGACAGTGGTAGGAGCTATCCCAATTGATAGTGTCCAATAAAAACTTATAAAAAAATATCGTATAAGTAATGAAACAGAAAAATTTTCTACTAGTATACTAGTATGCTTGTTTTGTTTCAATATTTATTAAAGTAATTGTTGTCTATTATTATTTACAAATACAATATTTACAATTTTTATTTTACAAAGTTTTAATCATTTGAGTAGCATAACAAATAAATTTATCAATCTATATAAAATAGTTCATCATTTTTCAAGTAAATCCTTTGCCTCGTTAATTTTAGCAGCCAGATATGGTGAACCACCACGATCTGGATGATTTGCAGTTATGACTTTTTTAAATTGTTCTTTTACTTTTGATTTGGGAGCAGTAGGTGATACACCCAATACAAGGGATGCCTCTCTCCGTGTCATTTTTTGTTCAAAACCTCCTTTGTAATATTTACTGTTTGCCAAACTCTGCAAATTTATTAATAACGTAAAAAATGAGATCTCATGGAAGTTGGTAATATTAATCTTGATGATAAAATTGATATACTTGTGAATCCAGCTTTGGCATGCTTTTGACAGCTTCTGCCATTTTCTGGGATAACGTGGGCATTTGTTTTAAAACGTAACGACCTGCGAATCCAGCTGCCGCTAATCCTAAGCCAGCAATAATAGCAGACGTCTGCAAAAGAAAAACAACTGATTATTGCTAGTGTACACAAAGGAAAATGTCATTACAAGTAAGTTGATGGAACAGTAATAGAATCAATTGCAGCTCGACTGATAAACATTTAATTTTACATCTTGAGTTTATACATTTTCTGCTCAAGTAATCATAAACAGAAGTAAACCATCGTTGCATCATTTAGAGGTTACATTTTGAAACACATAATTTTTCGCGCATATACGTCGAATGTACAAATATTTGGCTGTTGATGAACAATAAAAACACTCTTTTAATCCACGAAAAAAAAATAAAATCACTCATAATTACCATATTTAGTCACCGAACAATGTCACACACAAATGTCTATAATGTACTCATGTAATAACAACATTCAAACGTGACCCTCTCTCTTTCGTTTCTTATTTTTCTGCTTTCTGCTATTCTGCTTATTGCCGTCGCACACCGTCGCACGGTCGCGCGCGAGAGAGAGTTGCATGCACATATATGTAGAACCTATAAGGTTCGTTCAAAGTTCAAACTCCCCCCTTTTCAAAGTTTTGTGAACCGAACCAAAGAGGGTTTTGAACAAACCTACATGGTATATTTGCGATACATATACCATCAAAAGTTGGTAAATTCGCGAGAGAGGGTTAAAAGTCCGAGGAAAATTTATTTGTACAGGACAAAATGCGTCCGAAAGTTATAATAAACTATGCGCGTGAAATGTGCATTTTTTGATCGTTTATCATAATAGTGACTATTCTATCATCGTTTTCGGAGAGCTGCATGAGTGCCGGCGACGATTATCCAAAATAATATCACCAGCTCTGCAGAGGATTATAGTTCAGCGCACGAGGGTTGCTCGCGATCGCTTAGCCGTGCGGAGCGTACGTTCTTGCCCGAGGAGAATCGACACCAGGAGTCGAGGATGAACGTGACCGATGGGCCGGGCTTCTCTCGTTACGAGGTTCTCATGCTCGTGGCGAGGCTGTCCTTCGTCACGGCCATCGGCTTCTTCAGCATGAAGTGGATCATGAACCAGCTCGATCCCAACAACAAGCAGAAAAGAAAGGCTAAAAAGAAGGTAAAAAGGTTTTCGATTGACTTGTGCAACCCATAAGTATTGCGTCAGCGACCTTACGTAGTGTATACGTTATTGCCAACGATTCACTTATAACCTGGTTCATGTGTGGTTTTACATAATTTGCACGAGTTTTGGGTTTTGTCGTGTTTTTCAGGCCGAGGAACAGCTTAGGAAACTGGCTAAGAATGACGCAGTTTCGTTTACGAGAACCGTAGATTTGGAGCAGCTCACCGATTATGAGATGATGATTGCCAGTCATTTGGTGGATCCCAAGGATATCAAAGTCTCTTGGGAAAACATTGCTGGTCTTGAACACGTGATCCAAGAATTACAAGAGACGGTGATATTACCTATTCAACGAAAAGAGCTCTTTGAAGATTCACAGTTGACACAAGCACCAAAGGTATTCACACAGATCAGACATGATTTTTTACTATTCCGCTACAAGTCCAAAAAAGACTAGTTTTAAACTTATATATTAGAGCATTACTTTAAATGTGGGACGAAAATTTACTCTGAATAATGTAATGTATCATATTGTAGGGTGTTTTACTTCACGGTCCTCCTGGATGTGGCAAAACTATGATTGCCAAGGCTACAGCCAAAGAAGCTAAAACTTGTTTTATTAATTTAGATCTCAGTCTTTTGACTGATAAATGGTACGGAGAAAGTCAGAAACTCACTGCAGCTGTGTTTTCTTTAGCAGTCAAACTACAACCTTGCATCATATTTATTGATGAAATAGGTAATTTATTTAAATTTTTATAGAATACATCAACAATTTTATTCTTTCTCACAGCATTGACTTATGTTGATAGATTCTTTTTTGAGAGCTCGTAATTCACAAGATCATGAAGCTACTGCCATGATGAAAGCGCAATTCATGTCCTTGTGGGATGGTTTGATAACTGACCCATCATGTACAGTAATTGTAATGGGAGCAACAAACAGACCACATGATTTAGACAGAGCAATTCTCAGAAGAATGCCTGCAACCTTTCATGTTGGCTTGCCTGTAAGATTTTTATCAAAGTATTATAAAAAATTATATTATAACTCTCACTTGACACAAGAATTTATAATATTTTTTAGAATGAACAACAACGAACGCAAATAATGAATTTAATATTAGTTAATGAACCAACTGCTGAAGATATAAACATTGCTCATCTAGCAAGAATCACTGATGGATTTTCAGGATCTGACTTGCAGGAGCTTTGTAGAAATGCTTCTGTGTATCGTGTTAGGGATTACATAAGAAATTCTCAGTGAGTAAATTTTTTATTTTTACTTTGTAAAATTCATTCAATGTTTAAAAAATGTATTATTCATTTTTAGTGCTTCACGTGCGGGTACGAGCAATGATGAGGATATTTTTCACGATGCAGTGCGTCCAATTACGATGGACGATCTATTAAATTCTTTGAAAAAAATGAAAACGTCTAAAGTACAAACAGGCAGCTTAAATATGTCTAAATTAGACTTGGACTAAAGAAATGGGAGTTCTTGTATAAATAAGTGTGGTTCTGTAGGTTTTGCCTTAAAATCAAATTTATAGTTAAAAAATCAAGTGTTTTTTGTAAATGTTACAACAAAGAATACTAATTTAAATTAAAGCTAACAATGGTTAACTGAGGCAAACTGTAACGCATTGATTCTGGTAATGAAAAAATACTAGTCTTTTCTTTTTTTATTTAAATATGAAATTTTTCATAATTGAAAAGTTATAAAACCGCTCTATCATCAAAGAAAAATCACGAAAAAATATATGTAGTGTTTTTTTTATTCTCAACTTGTTTGTTGAAACATATTTTATTTGTGATTTTTCTCATTGAATCAAATAGAAGTAGGTTTTCAAATATTAAAATCGTGGATTGATTGCTCCAACAAAAGTGATTAAAAATTTTAGTAGTACAAGAGAGACGTTGGTATAATTGTTAACCCTTAGTAAGTTTAATTTTAACAAATCTAAATTTACCATGAGCTGTGATAGTAAGTAAACAAAAAGGGACAGTTTAAATTGCCAGTATACTTTTGTAAGGGCACGTTTCGATTGTCCAGTATTCGGAAGTACATGCAAACAATATAAAATATTTGATTTCTCATTTTGGATTGTATTTTTAGAGTTTCAATTACACATATAATAGTTAATTCAATATTTTGCAAAAAAATTTGTTTTCTATTCTTGTTATTTTTATACATCTCTTTCTCTCTCTCTTTTCAAACATAATTTTTTATCACTAAATAAGGAGTACGATTCTGTAAAAATAGATTTGTAATTAAAAGGTCATTTTTCATCATATGAGCTATCACTGTACAGTCTTACAAAATAATTTTTTTTTTGTATATTATAATACAATCATGGTTGTATTGACTCAATGTTTTCTAATTAATAATTGTATATTTTTATGATTAAATTTTTTTTGCTATAAAAATGTCAATAGTATAATTTTTAGCAGCTTGTACATTTTTAACCAAGAATAATTAATTAAAAATAATTATTAATGAAATACATCAAATGCGTAGTTGGTGAATCATGTTTTTGATATAGAAATAGAGGCTTGAGTTGATAATGACGCACTGGTCTGAGTCAGTAATAAATAAAAGGGTGTATAGTAGTTTTTGTCAAAATCAGTACTAATATATTATCATGATAATTTATTTATTCAATTTTTTTTTTATCACATCTTTCTCCGTGTACTACTTGAGTGATTTTTAGGAAAACTCTACATTTGTGTTCTATAACCCATCATGCATCTAAGTAAATCCATGACCTCTGTCTCAACTTTTCCAATGAATCCCTTAAATCACTTTTTTACCCCTAATCTCATACCACCCAATCACCCATCATCCCTAGTCTTGGGAACGAATTCCAATCAGAAACAACTCTGAAGAAACATGAATTCTGAATCGACCCAATCGGGATTTGAACCTGCGCCCCACATGAAAAACGGTACCTCAACTGAGGCTGCTAAATTGTCGATTTGTATATTTTTCTCCAATCATATGACTACCAAATTGACAACAATTTTATACATTCTAATGTTGTTATCGTGTAATAATGTTGAGATTATTGATCAGTCATGTACTGCATAGAAAATTTACTAAAACACAACTGAAATACCTAATTTGGGGTTTTAGTACTGCGAAAGACATTTACAGTTTTTTAGAGTTTTTTAAAAATGAAAATGTCAATCATAATTTAACTGTGAAATAAAATACGGAATCGTATAATATAATAAATGTAATAGACGAAATCGTATTTTAACTTCAAAGAAACACTAAAAAATTATCAGTGCAAAACACAAGTGTGTCACAACAGATTGTCACTACTGGCTTAAGAATTTTGATTAGTGAAATATGAAGTTGTGACATGCACTTCCTATAGAGTACTATGGCTAATAATATTGTATTAACCAGTAGAATGAATAAAATTATTCCTTTTTAATTTTTTAGTTTAATTTCTTAAAATTATATTAACACTACCTGAAAATTGCTATATACCCTTATTCAATATAAGTAGTGATAAGAACAAAGAAAAGATAAATCACATATAGCAGGCAATTAAAAAAAATATCAAAATATGTCTATAAATGATGTTTGATGGTTTTCCCTCAAAGTAAGATGTATAACATGAAATGTTGTAATATTAAATAGACTAAATAGATATAGTTGTAAGACAATTTTCATTTTTATAAAAAAATATTGTTTCTGCATTATACACAAAATGCACTAGTACTTATTTAAATCAGTTGTACACAGTTATTTTCACAGGACGCTATAACAAACATCTGTACTTCTTGGACGTCCTATATATTAAATTGAGCCCTTGCACACAAGATAGGGGCTCTCCTTTCGGTGCTCAACTTCTCCCATCCCCGCTCTCTGGCATTGGTTGGAAATGTTGGATAGAGTCGACAATGTCGACATTTGATTTGTCGGTCGGATCACGGATGGTTTGGATTGGGTCGCGCACACAGGCACAGAGGTTATACCTATAGCTAGCGTAGCATGGATTTTCGCTTGGGCTGCTCGCTGCTTTCGGAGTTTTGGAGTTTCGGAGTAGTAATAGTATATAACTGGATTCCACCCGAGAAAGAGTGACAAGAGCGGTACCGAACGCGTATAGGTACACATACGTGAAATCCTGCCGCTGGACGGCTGGGCACAAGTTAGCTTCGCTAGTTTCACGAAGCTGCACGCATAAAATATAAAAGTGTCGAAGAAGGTTCGGCTCCGAGTGTCACCTTTGCCCAGCAGCTGACGACGACGCCGACGATGAGAAACATCAAAGCATCTTCAGCTACCAACACCAGCAGCAGCAGCCGCCACAGTTTCGCCGCCCGTACAGTTTAATTGCTGTTGTATTGGAAAAAAAGGAGCAGTGCGCGATAAATACACATACTTAATGTGTGGAAGTGTAACCTGGGCCGCCGACGACGACGACGACGACGACGGTGTCACACAGCGACGAAGAGGAGCTGGTGGCGGAGGAGGCATCTTAGCGCTCCGAAAATCCAAACTCTGTCCACATCTATAGGAGTAAGTTTGCAAAACCTTTTTATCTTTACCCTACACTCGCACTCATTATTTTCATTATCATATGCTCCCCTTCTTTCCTTTATCACCCTTACCCTCGACATCATCGTCGGAGTACTCTTGGGGTCCGTCTTTCTCTTTCTCTCGAGGAGACTTTTTTTTCTTTGTTTGCGTGTATGTAACCGTGCATGTGCAGACACACACAATACATACAGACAAGTAGGTTGTGTATATATATATATATATATATATGTATGTACATACACACAACGAGAGGTTCACGGATTAAGTATAAGCGAACGCGATAGCAGTTCTTGAAGCTCTTCTCTTAAATATATAAACGCACAGTATAGCTATAAAATAAGTAAGTGTACATAAATATATCATGTGTATGCGATGTAGCAGATTTGAGTGGGTTGACTAATTGTGCAATGTATGCACACCCTTTTCGGAGTTTCTCACTTTTTACCCTTTCCAATAAGCCGAGGGCTATAGCTTTACTTATAACTCTTTTTATTTTTTTGGTCTTCCTCTTGGTTTTCTTCTATCTAAGGATTTTTTTTTTTCTTCCCAAAGAGGGTCAAAAAAATTGCAGACAATTCGCTCGTTCTTTTCAGGAGCGTCGCGTTGCAGCGAGCCGGCACATTACATATAGGTATATATACACATACCTACTTTTATGCATTATCCACAGGGAGGCATTTCAGCTGATGGACACCTCCTCCTCGTACACCTCTAAACACACACCGCCATCGTTTACGCGGATTGCTCTTGATGCTGGCTTGCTAACTCTCCCTGACTCTCTTTTTCGCACTATTCGCGCTTGCGCCTTCACCGCCCCCCATGTATACATGCATTTGTATGTACATACATACAACCTATTCTATGCTCCGCGTCCGCGTACATATCATATTATTATCCAAGTGCAGTGCACGTTCACGTCCCGGCTCGGTTGCTCGATACTACTATAGGTAAACTACGCTTTTGCGTGCCTCAATTTCGCTTGCTCCGCGAAAAAAGATACTACCGTACGTTATTTCAGCTTGTTACAATAAACTTACTTGTTGTACAATCAAGATCTTTGTTACCGCACGAATGGATGATTTAACAATTTTTTTTTGCAGCCCCCCCCCAAAAAAAAAACTCTAGTTCAAGTCACGGTTGGAGTTTAAGTATATAGGTGTGGGTGTACGTGACGCCAATATAATACACGATACGGATGCTCCAATTTCATCCTCGATACATTTACGTGCAGATTAATTTGGCTTAGGCGGTCAGAGTCGGTCCTATTGCATGTAAATATTTCGTATATTTGTATGTATATAAAAAATGTATGTACACTTGTATATATTATATCGCCGTGGATCCGAACGCTCCGAATTCGGTAGATCTAAAAGTTGAGTTGTTCCGCTTTGACGGGAATCAAATGCAACAATTTTTTTTTTTAACGATCCACGAAACTGTGAACCGTGGAAAATTCAAATCCCTGGAGGCTATATTATACACTCTCGGGGGAAGGCTGATAGGAGATTTAATTTTACGCAAATTACTAATCACGTCGGTTATTGTACACCCGATGAGCTCTCGGGACCGACTGTTATAATCACTTTCGCATTAAATACCTATTATATTCATACTTGAAGAATGTCTTATATTTTTATATTCGATAAACCGCCGAGATGAAAACGCTTGGAGCTTTTTTTTTTTTTTTTAAGTTCTCAATGGCACAGCGAAAACGGTTTTATTGTCCCTACTTGACTATATATTTTTTAACGCATATGCGCGTATATACCGAAGGGAACTTTTGCTTGTCGCGTCGTCTGCTTCGTTTTGACAACAAATGCACTGTCAAATTCAGATGAAATGAAATGAAACGTACATATATTTTGTGTTGTATAGCCTCAACGAGCATATCGGGGGTGGAGGGGTGTGATTCATGTCACAATTGGTTTTGACAGAATTTGTAAATTGTTCATCTCGAATTATAAATTTCATTCTTCTTATACTTATTCACCTATACTTGCAAACACGCTTGAGTTTATGCCAATGTTATAAAATCACGAAAGGGCAACGTAAATATATATACGTAATATAGTCGTAACCACTAACACACTTGCAATCCTGGCGTATTTTCCCGTATACGTTTACATTACATATTATGAGTACACAATGTATAAGAAAGAACGTGATAAAATGGTAAATATAGAGAGAGAGAAAGAAGGATAACACAGGGTTCCGTGTAATATTACCGGAGCAGTGGTGCTACTAGATTAACTTTATATTATATATCCATGGTGAATCACGTTAACTGATAAAATGTCAGGTATCATGGTGTGGTATGGGACGTTTAAATGGTTTTTAATAGCGAAATGTGATCACAGAGACATATGATTCATTAACTTTGTAGTCCATATATGGCATGTAACGATAAGAGTTTAAAGTACTTTTCGATTAGTCAAAACCACTTGTTATACATATCGCACTTTTAACAGCTTTTACGTACAGTGAAATACATCCATACGTACAATAATGAGTGAGTTGATGCCTATTTGGGCGTGTGTGTGTGTGTATATACGTTTATACACAATACAACAACTGACGGTCGACACAAGTGGTTTTGACCAGTCAGAAGGCTGTTTTAGCCACATTTTGGACGCCTGATAAGTTAGGCCCCTGGAATGATTGTTGCCGCGATAAAAAAAAAACCTTTTTTCAATTTTTAACATAAAAGTAGTGTAAGTTATAAAAATGTTTCTCGAACATTGTGCCAAAATGTTAATGCACCGGTTTCATCTTCAGGCACAGGAATTTTTTTTCCATATTTCCACTTACTATGGAAAAAATAAAAAAATCATTGAAATGTATATTTATTGGCATTTTACACGTTACTTCATTCATTAAAAACGGTTTTAAGTTTTCCAGTGATAAAAATATGACTGTTTGAGTTGGCCAGTATAGAAATTAGTACATGTAACTTTTTAAGCTTAAATAATTGAGTTGACTGCAAGTGTAATGTCGAAAAACCCGGAAAGAGTCCATTTCAATAGATACTAATTACTGAATTAAATATAAATGGCCATTCAGAAGTTTGTTGAAATAAAAACGCGTTACATCAGAACGTTGAACGAAATTTTACAAAAAAATGGGAAGTTTAAATAAACTTTAAGACAGTCACCACAAATTTAATTAGCTTGAAAAATCACTGGGTAGAGCAGTATAACATGTGTATCTAACAAAAGTAAACCCAAACAAAGTGAGGGACAAAATTGATTTGCATGTAAAAAAGTAACCGATGAAGCCATGGGCAGTGAATTCTAAATAAAAGTCACGTACGACAGTTCGTTATTTTACGCTTAACGTGTTGGAGTATAATGTATTTGAGCTGTTATCATCATAATTATAATCATCGCCTGATTGCATATGGGCAACTTTAATTTTTGTTGCATCATTTAAGTACTGCCAAAACTTTCAGTGCTCCATCGTTTTTTAGCTCAAACCGCAAGGTAGAATGTAGTAAATTATTTTTTTTTATGAATAATCTTTCAAGTAATGACAAGTTAACTTTGTATAGATAAAACAATCTGAACTGCCGTGGATGACTATTTCTGAAAAAAATGCCCATTATGCTTATTGACAAATCATTTAATTTCAATAAAGAACTTATTCAATTAAATTTATATTTATAACAAGTAAGTGCATCGCTTGAACATTGATTCACAAGACTGGAATTTTCATTATTTTTTTTTTTCAACATGCATTATATGAATTACAGAATCGAGTGTATCTTTTACATACCTACCTACTTATCAAAGAAGAGGTATTCGAAAGCATTGACCACAAATACGACCGATTCCATGCTTATTATATTAGCTTCGCGGCTATATAAGTATTCTGTATCGCTCATCTCTCTACCTCAAACTTTCTAACCTGTGTAACGCTCTCTTGGCTCAGCGTCTGTGCTTTTATCGCCTGCTTTGTATGTATTTAATTTCGTAATCATACAGCACATACAGTACTAATATAGCAAGTCCGAGGATGCTCGTAGCAAGAAAGCGCATCGTAGGTGTTGCCGTTGCCGATTTTATCATCGCAAAATGCATTATACGTACTCCCATAAACATAACCTTACGGCTCGCGCGAGAATGCTCATTTTTTTACGTGTTAAAATATCATTTTTAACTCTCCTCCCCCCCCCCCGCGCACGATACTTTGGTACCTACTGATTTTGTGTTTTATAAGTACATCTCTTATCAAGCCTCGATCCCAATCCTTTGACAGCACAATCGTTTTGTGTTTTACTTTCTAAAACTGCAGTTCACTATATCTTATTCGTATTCAATGTTGTACTTGTGATAATTATTCCATTGATTTTCTAATGTAATTTTTTTTTTTTTTTTCTAGGGTTGCAGATTTGTGTGCATCATGGTGCGTGAAGCGTCGAGTTGAAGAAACACAATACTCCGATTTAGATTAAGTGTGTTGTACAAGTAGTTATCAGAAAAAAAGGATGAAAAGTAAAAACAGTTATATTCAAGTGCATTTGTAGACGACAACTACAAGTGTGTGATATTTAGAATTTTAATAAAAAATGCTCATTGTTTAATATTTTTTTTTTTTTCTGACTGATTTATACATGTTAAAATCACGCGCTCTACTTCTGGTATTATAATGTCTGTGATTATTACATAGTGAAGTAGCTTACCAATTTGGATTTGTAAACTTTTTGAGGGAATCATTGTCAAGACAATGTGGGCAAAAAATCAAGATTAATGTGCTATGAATGCAAGTCAAGCTTGTCATTGCATTTTTGTGCTTCCACAAGTGAAAAAGAAAAAAAAATGAAATCATGTTACAGCCGTTATTAGCATCTGAGTTTTTATGTTTTACACCATACTTTTTTTATTTTTATGAGTACCTAAAACACGAATATTTGTTAAACAGTGCAAGTGATTGTGGAGTTTTGAATGAATAGTGTCCTAATAGCACAATATGCTTTAGGAAAATAAATTTCATTAGTCTCTCATGGAATGGACAATACACAGAACTTATGTTCTGCGAATTGATGGGTGTATGCTTTTCCTGTAGGAAACAATCAAGTAACAGGTTGAATAATAAGATCTCTGAACAAATATCTGCAACTGTAACTCCTTTCCATGTTTGTGTGGAAGAACCAAGAGGACCAGACTTGGGCTTGTGTGACACTCCAGCTCTCAGATCAAGGGTACTTACTTTTATTTAATTAAATTAATGAAAAAAACCATTTTATTTTTAAGACAACATTGCAACTAGCTGAGTACTTGTTGAAAGTTGATTGTTTTATTCTTGAAACAGAGTGAAACTGGACCCAGAAAAAGGAGAAGCAGAGAAGATTCTGAGGAGGAGAGGGAAGAGGAGGAAGAGACTGGAGCAGAGTTACTTCAGTCTGGAACAAATGAGTTGAAGCAAAACCAAGCAAGCATGGCCAATACAATCAGCAACATGAAAATAACCAACCCCATAAAGGGGCTAGTCAGTAAGCACAGGAAACGTTTTACTGCAGATGGCTTTGATCTTGATCTCACATGTATCCTTTTTCATGGTTTTTATTACTTTGTTTATAAATCTTTTATTTACTTTTATATTTCCTTAATGCGCTAAATTATAGATATAAAAGAAAACTTAATTGCTATGGGGTTTCCAGCTGAAAAACTGGAAAGTGTGTATAGAAATCATATAGATGATGTGGTCAAACTTTTAGAATTCAAGCATAAAAATCATTACAAACTATACAATCTGTAAGTAAACCACCTTGATAAATACAAACTATACTAATTAAAAAATTTTATTTTCAACTACAACTTTATTACATCTTCACAGCTGTTCCGAAAGATCGTATGACAGTAAAAAATTCCAACATAGAGTAGCAACATATGCTTTTGATGATCACAATCCACCTTCAATGGAAATGATCAAACCTTTCTGTGAGGACGTACATAAATGGCTTATGGAAAATGAAAAAAACGTCGCTGCTGTTCACTGCAAGGCTGGTAAAGGTAGAACTGGAGTAATGGTAAGCTGTTATCTCCTTCACAGTAAACAATGTGAAACAGCTACTGAGGCCCTCAATTTTTATGGAACAAAAAGAACAACTGACAGGTAAAAGAATCAGTTTTATCAGAACTTTGAGTAATGAAATATCCAAGAAAGGGAGTTTAAACATTTTTTTTAAATTCAGAAAAGGCGTTACAATACCATCGCAGAGGAGGTATGTGAATTACTATGCTACTCTTGTCCAGGATGGTCTTAACTATCAACCAGTAACTTTGATTTTGCGGGAAATCAAACTAGATCCGGTACCTATTTTGAATGGAGGTCAGGGATGTAAGTATCTCTAAACATGAAAAATTATTTAAATTATAATTTTAAATAATAATGAATTTTTTTCGCTTTTTTAGACCGCTTTGTGATATTTGAGGCTAAAAAGAAAATATTTAGTTCTGACACATACGAGGTCCGAAAAGGTACCAGTACTCTTTCTATACCTTTGCGGCAGAGTGTTTCCATCAAAGGTGATATAAGAGTAGATTTTTACACAACACCAAAAGTAAAGCGGAAAGTAAGTTTGACTTGAGCTATTACATATATTTGCATCTTCATAACTTCCGTTAATTAAACAATACGTTTTATAGGAAAAAATATTTCACTTTTGGTTCAATACATTTTTTGTCTCCGAACACGTGACGTCTGAACATGATAATGGAGGACCAATTGAACGAACAGCAAGAGCATTGAGCTGCGATGGGACGGCCATGGAGTTACCAATGGTTCATGCCAAACCAAGAACAGGATCATTAGCTAGTTTAGATACTTTGCCACAATTAGTTTTAACCATTGACAAATGGGGTTTAGATTGTGCCCATAAAGACAAAAATCACAAGATTTTCAGTCCTGACTTTAAGGTAATATATTATCTTTCAATACTCAAAGCTTAATAAAGTATAAGTTTACATAAAATTTATTGTACTTAAAATTCTAACAATATTTGCAATTTTTTTTTGTAGGTTAGTTTATATATGAATAGAGTAGGCAACAACGTATTGCCAGCTGTTGCAGCACCAATAGGACGAACCAGTGAGGACCTACCAATTGGTCTAGGTGGTCAGGAAACGCCAAGTGAATCGAGCGAAGGTGAAAGCAGTGAATGTGACACTACAGGAGACGAAGATGGTTGGGAGTCGGGTGAGTCTTCTGCATCTCTGGTGGTGAAATGCCATTCTCACACACACGGCTGTAGACACAATATACCTTGCACTGCCACCCAGCACAGAGCTTGTTATGAAGGAACATCTAAAGAGTCACATCCTTGTGGGGACAGGGACAAAATGGGTAGTCCACAGTCAAAATCCACTGTTAGCGCCATTAAACGATCAGGACTCTTTCGATCCCTTACTACGGACTTGTAATATTTTATTTTGCCATTTTCAGTACTTAAGCGCTTTCTTTTGCTATTAGCTTAGATCCATTTAACCGGTATACTTTTTTTACGATCGTACGTTTTTAAATCCTTGACTAGTGAATGTTTACATATATTGATCAACTAAAAAACTACATGGTTAAAAATTGTGATTTATAGCTTATTATTTGAGGACTATTGCTACATATTTTGTCTTTTAAGCAAGAGCAAAATTGCTTCAGAAATGCAATTGCATTTTTTAAATCCGAATGTAATCATATTTAGCGAAGTTTCTTTAATGATCTGACTTATATAATGTATGTCGAACGTTAGATAAACGTCTAGTAAAAAAAAAAGTTAGATACTTATACAACATAGATATATTTAATGTGGGTATAAGAGTGTATTCAGTGATTAGGGGGAAAAAATCAATAATGTTTCATAATTTTGTTAAAAATATCAGTAGAAAAATTCGTTTTGTGATAGTTTCTATTTAAATGTTTAAAAGTCAACCATTTACAAATTTTTACAGTGATTTATTAAGCTAGATGTCTTGGTTGGATTCGACAGATTCACAACTTTATTAATTAAAAAAGTTTTAATACATGCTTTTTTAACGAGCTAAAAATTCAAAATTTGTATGATTTTTAATATGCAATTTTATGCCATTTATTAAGATGGATATTGAAAAAGCTGTTAGTAAACCTACTGGGTTAAATTATGTAAATATATATANTTGAATGTTATCAATTATGGAATAATCATTTTGTATGAAAACGAATAAAGTTGTAAAATAGGCTTCGATCATACTTATTTAATAATGTTATGAGTTTTTTTTATGCATTTTATTGCATAACAACGCTAAAAACAATACTATTCAAAACGGCATTGTCAATGCGATTTTTTAATTTCAATAAAGATAAGTAATTGGAAGTTGGCTAAAAATGACAAAAAATAAAAAATGCTGTCATGACTTCTCTTTGGCCAAGACAATCTATAAAAGGCCGGTTACGTAATTGTACTTAACTACATAGATCACGAATATGCTTTAAATCCATGTTAAGCATAGATAGGATCGTAGTATAAAAATATGTATTTAACAAATTATTTAAATTGTGAAACTGGTCTTGGAATGCCAATTTTTAATAGTAATAATTTTTATGATCTAGTCAATACAAGTACATTGATAAATTTATTCCTGACGATTTAGTGACATTTTTTAATGTTTTACGTGAGTAATGGTTCAGAGTACTATTATTATACACCAGTAATATTCACATACAGTCACCAAATACGTAGTTATTCACTTATATACTGATATCGTGATTAGAATTGAAAAGTAATACTTTTGTGACATTATTTTAATTACATCATGTAATTGTGTAAAATTTTCTAGCAAATTTCGAGTACTCTTGACATTACCAAATAAAAAATGTTTAAAACGCAATATTTCTTATTGTCAGTCGATATAGAAATTAGATTCATCGATCTTTGTGTACAAGATAAAATTCATGCCAAGATCAATTCCAAAACTGACTTATATTGTATTATTCTTATTTAAAGTCGTCATTCGAGAACGTGTGGATAAGTACGCCAAAGTTCTCAAATCAGACATACATCGACGAAGACCACCAAAACCACAAGTATTGATTTTTCGCTGAAGGTGAATGAAGAGAAATGAAGCGTTTCTTTGTAAAATACAAACAGAGGAAAAAAAAAATTAGTGTACAGATGGATAAAAAACGAAAAAGCAAAATATGATAAAAATTATTTTCATAAGGCAAATATGATAACAGTCAATAATATTTAACTGAATTGATCGTTTAGGCACTACCATGTCGTCTTTCGCTTCCCCTGCCCTTACCCCTTAAACAACAAATATAAAATACAAAACACATAATTACAATCTACAACGCATGAGTGTTAAGAAAAATGCATTTTTCGGCGTATCGTAAAATTGTTGTATGAGTGAATGTAGCTAGTTGCATTATAAAAATCATTATTTTGTGATACTATACAATACAACTCATACCACGTATTGTTATTATTATTAATATTATTATAACTCTTACGACTGCTACTACTACTACCGCTACCCTAACTATTACTACTACTATACTACTTCTAACTACTATTAGATTTATTATTATTATTATTATTACATGTATATCATCACGTCTGTGTTAAAATTTTGCTACGTTATCATGTATATATATATATAAAATCTATTATTGTCACAATAATTGCTGTCATTATTTTTGTGTTGTATATCTATTATTATATTGCTATTATTGCTTGAAAAACTTTGAAATGTACAAGCCCGTTTATTAATTCATACATTTCTATGTCATTGATTTCTATTTCTAGATTATGAACATGATTACATGTCAATACACCCTACATAATTTTATTTTACCAATTATAATATATTATGTTTTTGTTATTGCTTCTTTTACCTAAATTGAGTGCAAAAGATAACGTATTACCTAAAGCATTCTTCTACAATACTTCGAGAAAGCCTGAATTGTTATTCTATTTATGTAGTTATGTAAGCATGTTTATTTTCAAATAATTTTATTGAGCATGATTTTTTTTTATTTTTTTTTTTTTTACGAAAAGCGTCGAATAAATTTTCTATATTAAAATGTGAAATTTCCCACTGAATGACCTAAATATTATACACGATAAAAACAAAAAACACGTACTGGGTGTAGATGAAATGTTTTTGAGAGTGAAATGTCATTGCATACGAGACATGACTGCACGTTACGTAATTTCTGTAATTTTGATGATTTTCTTTTATCATCATAATCACCGAAACTTTTTTATATGTCCATTTCAATTGAAAGAAAATAATAACGGAAACTTGTATAATAATACTTAAACAATGGACCTATAAAAATCTACAGTATTTCCAATTGATCCATCGTAGATACATCGTAAAACAATTTCCAAAGAGAGTTATTGCCTTGCGTTCCATTTATCTAAATTTTTTTGTATTTTGAGAAGAGCACCTGCTTCATCGTAAACGTGTGTGATTTTGCAACCTGTATAAACTTCAGTATGTTCAAGTAATATCGATCTTTTGTAATCTTTTTTTTTATTTTTTTTTTTTCTTCGCTTTATTCGCTTTATCTAAATTTAATGTACGAAAATATGTATGTTGACTCCTCGCAGTGGACTTGGATCGTGAGCGCGTGGGCCGTTATCGCCTCTTGTCGGATGGAGGGATGATAGATGTTTCGTGAGCTCGTAATCGCCCATCATCTTCATTCATCCTGGAACTGTCAAGTCATTTTAAACAAAACATTAAATTACGATATTTTAATAACTCTATCAACTAGCCACGATTTCCATGTTGCATCACCGTGTGAGCTACTGTTTTATGAACTTGCCGTTTTACACGCATGAATCGTACTTACATAAGGCACTTTTTTTTTTTTAATCACAAGAAGGAAACAATATTTTAATATTTAAAATATTCCAAATACTTTTTTGTGATGATGGTATTACTATACAAGGTCGATGAATTGAAAAAATTTTTGATGTCTAATACTTATTGTTGATCATATTTTTTTCTGTTGAGTTCTATATAAATTTGTTTCAAACTACTTTATTATCATGCGAATGTTAATCAGTAGAAAGGATGTGATGTTTTCAACGAATATTAAAGATGTGTGATAAATATTTTGCACATGTGTTATTTCGACCGCCCATTTTGAATGTTATCAATTATGGAATAATCATTTTGTATGAAAACGAATAAAGTTGTAAAATAGGCTTCGATCATACTTATTTAATAATGTTATGAGTTTTTTTTATGCATTTTATTGCATAACAACGCTAAAAACAATACTATTCAAAACGGCATTGTCAATGCGATTTTTTAATTTCAATAAAGATAAGTAATTGGAAGTTGGCTAAAAATGACAAAAAATAAAAAATGCTGTCATGACTTCTCTTTGGCCAAGACAATCTATAAAAGGCCGGTTACGTAATTGTACTTAACTACATAGATCACGAATATGCTTTAAATCCATGTTAAGCATAGATAGGATCGTAGTATAAAAATATGTATTTAACAAATTATTTAAATTGTGAAACTGGTCTTGGAATGCCAATTTTTAATAGTAATAATTTTTATGATCTAGTCAATACAAGTACATTGATAAATTTATTCCTGACGATTTAGTGACATTTTTTAATGTTTTACGTGAGTAATGGTTCAGAGTACTATTATTATACACCAGTAATATTCACATACAGTCACCAAATACGTAGTTATTCACTTATATACTGATATCGTGATTAGAATTGAAAAGTAATACTTTTGTGACATTATTTTAATTACATCATGTAATTGTGTAAAATTTTCTAGCAAATTTCGAGTACTCTTGACATTACCAAATAAAAAATGTTTAAAACGCAATATTTCTTATTGTCAGTCGATATAGAAATTAGATTCATCGATCTTTGTGTACAAGATAAAATTCATGCCAAGATCAATTCCAAAACTGACTTATATTGTATTATTCTTATTTAAAGTCGTCATTCGAGAACGTGTGGATAAGTACGCCAAAGTTCTCAAATCAGACATACATCGACGAAGACCACCAAAACCACAAGTATTGATTTTTCGCTGAAGGTGAATGAAGAGAAATGAAGCGTTTCTTTGTAAAATACAAACAGAGGAAAAAAAAAATTAGTGTACAGATGGATAAAAAACGAAAAAGCAAAATATGATAAAAATTATTTTCATAAGGCAAATATGATAACAGTCAATAATATTAATAATGTAATAATAATAATAATAATAGTAGTAGTTAATATAAATTAAATTGGCATAAGCATGCAAAACATTGGTGGGTGGAGCGAAAGTTGATAAATCAAGTGTAAGGGTGTTGAGTATGTTAGATATCTGCATATGCAGACCACATATTTTCCAGATTTTGGATGTTCCATGAAAAAAAAAATTTTAATTATATACGGTCCGTCAGATAGATGTTGAAAAATATTTCACACGTGTTTCATATTTTATTTCATGAATGGAAATCGACAAAGATTGAGCTCTTGAACATTTGGAAGGCATCAGATTGTTATAATATTTTCATGTTAAAGACGAACTGACTTAAAATATGGTGGAGAGAGGTTTGAAATATACTCATATTGATTGTCTTCGTTATTTTTTTTTATGTACGCTACAAAAGAAAAAAAAAACTATTCAATATTTTTGATGATACATCTTACGGACCTAGATTTTTTTCTTGCAACATCCTAATTTGGTTATCTTGTACCATCCATATTCTTCGTGTCTTCAAAAAATGATATTACGAAAAAAACTGAGCGTTAACACACATTCTACATTCAAAATACAATACGACAGGTTTCATGCTTATCATTATTTTTAACGGAGAAAAATTAAAGTGTACCACCTGCGAGTCCAGTTACGGCCATTCTCTAAATTTTATTGTCAGATAAAAATTCTTCATCGGAGGATTTTCTTACTTTCACGCATACAACTCTATCGCTTTTGAATATTTTTTAAATGTTAGAAAAAAAACTTTTTATGATTCAACAATACATTATCTTGTCGTGCAATATTTAAATACACATTGAATTGAAAAAAAAATTCAGTACAAGTCGTCAATGTTGCTGAGTAGGAAACTTAAAGAAAGTATAATTTTTTATGTAATGGAAAATGTTTCATTCAATGTAAAAGAAATATAACAAATTATATTATGTGTTTCATGTGATAGAAAACGGAAACCTACCGAACAGTTAACAATTTCTCTTAAAAGTAATCCAAATGTTTTGGGATATGCGCTTTAAGTTTTAAATGTGTAATAGATAGATTTGAAAGGGAGAGTCGGAGAAACGTAGAAAATTATTACAGTATTTTTATGAAATTAAAAGTAATTATTGATTGAGTAGTATTTGTTATTCATTTTTTTTCTTCATGAGAATTTTTTAAGTAATTTTTAGAGTATATTAAAATCTGTCATCGATCAAATCCAATTGGTAGATCATTTTTTAAAAAATCAATAAATGTTAAATACAAGTAGTAAAAAAAAAAAAAAAACTTTGTCGTGTATACAACAAACTAAATTACCTATATAATTTTGTCAAGCGCATGCATGTCAGTGGAAAAAGTGGCTGAAATAAAAATGTATACTGTATCGAATATTGAATCAGAGTATACGTCAACATAAAACGACGTAGAATCAGAATAATTAAAACATGTGAAACTTTTAAGGCACAAAGCATCCCACTTTCTGAACTGCAAGCAACTAATGAAAAAAATTCAAGGTTTTCATTACAGACGATTCTTCTTTGCTCTGTACAATCACTATGATGAAATGCATTTTACGTACTTATGTAAACATACTTGTATATTGGGTTAGTGAGACAAATTTTTATTATGTTTTTGGCACTCGTAACTGACAAACAGAATTGCAAATTTTTTTTGATTAGTTTTAATAAACCTTGTCTTAATGCTGATAATGACGTTACGTCAAATTAAGGCAAAAAGATGAACAATATAAATGTGAAAAAGACATCTCGATTTATCAATACATTTGTATTACATCCTTCTACATTAAGCATGAGTTTTAAAACTGTTTCGTACAATCATGCGATTCAGTACAACTTGGTCCACAAAATTACAGTTATGTTTTATTGTACTGTTAAGTCTTGTGTGAATGAAGAAAATTGACATAGACCATATTCTTTATCGCGTAAGCTGAGCTAGTAATATAAGCCAGACAAAATTGTAAAAAGTAAGAATATTCGAAAGATAAAATTTCTATGTAAGTACACTGTAAATCTGCGGATTTATAATGTAGTATTTAGTTGCTTCGATTAAGTTTTCAGTTACATGCATTGCCTCTTGCCAATATCAGGAATATTGTGCTGTAAATTTTTTTTTCTCCTCAATTGTAAGCGTACGACCAGTTTTCCACGCGTCTTTCACGCTCCTGCGTAGCAAGCAGAAAAATTTTTGAAACTAAAGAAGAAAAGTATATTTATTAAGGTTAGAGAATATAGGAATTACCTCAGGTAGTAGCGATTTTTCACTGTCTTTGTGTACGAGAATGAGAAGTTGGCTGTAGACGGAAAGAGACCGGTAGACCCAGATATCGTGAATATAAAACTAATCGTATATATATATATATATATTTATATTTGTACATTTAAAAGTCCGCGAATAAAAAGAAATACAAATAATAATCGAAAGTGAGAAATAAAATATATAATAAAAAAATAACAATGTAACTATACAAAGACTAACAATTTTCCCACAAGACATCATGTTCTATCCCTCCGGATGAACCAGCAAAGCTTTTTAATTGCATCCACGTACACATATACTATGTTGAAAATAAGTAATTAAATTCAACAACTGTTGTTTTATGTAATTTCTTTTAACAACAAACAAAACGCGATATTAATTCGCTAATTGTCGAATTTCACGCGAGCGATGGTTTTCTGTTTTTAAGCCATTCTATATTATTTACACACTCACGGCGTTGTGATATTGGTAATTTTAAAAGCACATTCTTATGTTATAATTCAAGTTAATTATTTTTCGCTAAATACAAATACAATTTTTATATTTGATAAAATTTGATGCATGCTTGATAGAGATTAGTCTATATTAACATAATTATTTTTAGTGTGCTGTGTTATCTCTTACGAAAAGCAACTATGCTTATACTAACCTTGTATGAAATAACGACGAATCTAATTAACACATAATTAGCTTATTTCTTTGGTACCGATGCTCTTTATATATTTTCTTTAAACCATTTTCACATATTAATCACACTAATTAATTTTCCGAATACTAACATGTAGTATGGTTTTATATTTTCTATTAACAAATTAGATAGAAAATCAATGTTGCAAAAACATTAAATAATGTAATGATAGAAATGATCATTATTAAAATGTTCCAAAAAGTGCTCTTGTTTCAGAGTTCAATTTGTAAAGTTGTTGTTTTTTTTTTTATTTATTATAATTAACATGCACATTCACTGATTCAGCATAAAAGATAAAAATTTCACCTTTTGAGAAACAAAAATTTAACGAGCAGTTGAAGATTTTTTTCAAAATATTTTCTTAAATTGTTTTTTTTGTTCGTTTAATTATGATTTAATTTTATGCCATTAATGTGGATTAATATTTTATCATAAGGATGATAAGAGATAAATAAAATTTAATCAAACGTAAAAAAAAAGATGCAGGGGTAAGACAAAAAGTATAAGACGAGTAGCTGACGTTAGATCTGCTTGCAGGAGAATCCACGTACTTGTGACTTTGAGATCAGCAATTGATGTGCTCTTCCTAGATGGTCACCTTCTTCTTCAGTTAATCATCTTCAAATCGCAGCATCCGTACATACCAAGTAGCAAGTGCGTAAGCAAAGGCAGAAACGCACAATCTATGCGTGCAGTGGTTCTGTGTCGTCACGCCATTCTGCTTGATGTTGATGGTTACAAATTGACTTATGCTTCCTGAAATTCTGCATGCCGTACATATCGTTGAACCTGCCCTCTCCCTTTCTTTTGTGATAAACATTGGTACATTACAGGATACAGTCGAACGAGTTTGTTTCGATTTACTCAAATCAATGTTTGCCTTGTCTACATTTTTTTTTTTTTTTTTATGATTGATATTTTTGCATAATATCGTTGCAAAGTGTCTCGTAACTATTGAATGATATTAAATTTCATTGAACATTAATTTTACACCATGTATTGGATTAGACGAACTTTTTTTTTTTTTTATTTCAATTTTTATCTTATACTTTTATGTATTTGGTACAAGTACTCTTTACAGTATGAAAAATGAATTTTACACGTGAAAGAAAATTTTCGAATATTTTATAATATTTAAAACTGTCACTTGAACAATCAAATGTAAAGAACGTAAAAGAATTTATTAATTAACTTTCATTAATGTGTAGGATGGTTTGATTTATAATCAAAAAGTTGATTTTTAAGCCTTTTTATTATTTACATACATATATATTTGTTTATGTATGACATCATTTTTATGCACCATTTAAATACGTACAATATTTTAATGTTTGTTGCATAAGCATTGTTTTTACACTTCATGGTACCTAATAATATTTTTACTTTTTTCCCTTCGTTTTAATTTGTTTATAATCATTTTTCATTAGTTGTTACGATTATTCATACCATAAATAATATTAAATCGGCTTTTGTGGCAGTGAAAGTACAAATTTTAATTTATAAATTAAGTAATGTTTTATGTCATTTAATATATAATGTATATATATATAGATGCTTTTTATTACCGATCAACGACGATCGCGATCCTGAATTAAAAAAAAAATATGTTTTTAAGTAAATATGTAGTTATAAAAGTACAAGTTTGGAAGAAAAGGCTGTATATAAAAGTTCATTGTACGCTGATTGCAAGATTTATTCAAATTGCTCTGGACTCGGATGTAAATTGTGGCGTGTAATTATTAAAATATTTTCAAAATGAAATATTATCTCCTCAGCATGTTTATTTGAAAGATTTTCAGGAAAAATAAAAAAAAGTGAATATCTGCACGAGTTAGCTAAAAATTTTTAAATTAAATTTACCAAACCATAATAAGTTGAATTGTGTATAATTTATTAACCAATTTTTATTTCCCCTCATCCATTTTCTCTTCGTCCGAGGAAGTCTCGGCGTTTGCAGTATACCATAAATTACAAATGTGTAAAAATGAATAAACGAAATTTTATTTAGAAAATACAAATTTTATTATAATTCAATTTTTTAAATAAGAATATTTTTCACTAAAAACCTTATGTAAGTAAAAGATGGATTGCTAAAATATTTGGCTAAATGTTTTTTGTGCAATCACATCACACAACTCCAACAATGAAATAGCTATATTTTCAATTATTCTTGCAAGCAACACATTTGCAAGAGATTATTTCTTCTTGATATTTTCAAAAATATATCAGTTTATAAAACAACAAATATTTAAAAATTTTGTATGCCTTGCATCACTTTATCTTCCTCGTCCTCGTCCACGATTAAAACCACCTCTACCTCTGCCTGAGACTTTACCCTTGGGAGGAGGTGATTTTGGTCGTAGAGCTTCTATTCTTTCTGTACAGCCAGTAGTGATTTGATTATTATTAAAATAACCATTGTAAATGTCTGCATTGAAATTGGTATTGGTCAATTCAGGACCAACTGTCAGCCAACCAGGTCTGATTGTTGTGTCTCTTCCAAAAAGATGTAACCTAAAATTATTTATTTGAATGACTTTTACTGTAAATATCTGAAGTAAGACAAAAAAACAAACAAAATTAAGAAATAAACGGTGTCTTTGTTTACCTCCTACGTCCAAGACAAAAATGTTCGATGATATGAAATATTTCTACAGGTTTTTCAATAGAGCCATATTCAGTTTCCTCTGATATAATTAAATCAATATCCACATTGGCATGAATAAAATCACCATCCGTTGATCGTCTGACAGTTCCCTTAATACCCATCAAACAATGCTCTTTAGTCCTTTGAAGCACTGCCTTACTGTCCAAATTTTTACTATGTCCAGGATTATTAATGTTTGTCCTAATCCAACAAATATCCTCACACCGCCTAAAACCCCACTTTCTCAAACAAAATCTCCCCATATCCAAACCGTCACTACTACCACACCACAAAAAAACAAAGCTCCTGCTAGCTGCCACCTCACCAATATCCAACTCCATAATCTATGAAATTAATCATGCGGTTAATAAACAAATCTCTTACGATACAAAAGAATTTAGGTTTAAATAATCGACCTGATCCCAGTTCCACAGCTGCACATTTGTAGCACCACAAGTTCTTTGATATTCTTCTAACGGAGGTTCAATAAGTATCACATCAAACTTACAGTTCAAGTCTTTCAAGCTGTACGTGGACAAGTCGGTCTTTGAATACATGGGAGGAGTAGCCGTCTCGGAAATCAGGTCGTCTTTCAGTTTTATAAGCTCCCTAAGTTTGGGATACTCCTCAAATCTGTCGGCCAGACCAACGTCCCTGATAAAATTTTGAGGCCTCTGGCCTGTGTCAATAAAGTGCTGACAGTAATCGTTGTGCGGATTCGAGGACTGTGTCCCTTTTAAGAACGTAGACGAATCTTTGTAAACAATTTCATCTGTCGCGGATGTATTGCTTTGCTTCTCTTTGGCTTCATCTTCACATTTGAACGACGTCACTTTAATTTTCTTCTTTTGCGATTCATCTACTTCAGTTCCTAAAATCTGCCTCAACTCGTCAACACTTGACACACCAAGCTGAAAATTGTTCAAATTACGAATCATCAACATTCAATATTAATATCAAAACATAACCTTCAATTGACTTGTCAAAAATAATACACTGTTACAAATATTTTGTACATTACCGTCTGTGCCAGGAGTTTCTTTCGTTTTTGCGAGCGTTCCCGCAAAGTTTGTAACATTTTTACACAACCGATATTATTGACAAACCTCAACTCGCAAAACTTTTACTGAACTTTTTAACTATGTCCTTGGTCCTTTCGTTATTTGGGGAGGACTCATTTTGCGGAGCATTCAAAGATTAAATTTCGGAGTCAGCTAGCTACTTCACTTTCAGTTGATAAATCAGTCATCTTCAACATAGGTATCTGGTTTATTGACATGACGCGATGACGCGTACGCAGTGCGTCGCACGCACGTTGTACTTGTGTGTATGTAACTATGTATGTGTTACACACAAAAGCGCTATTTATGGATATATTTGTCGAAAAAATTGACTATACTTATAAAACTTTCGAAATAGTAATTATTTTTTTTTTTCAAATTAAACTTTTGTTCCAATTATACTTACTTATAGCTGTAACGAAAATTCGTGTCGTGGTAACAAACCAAAGTGTACTTTTATTTCGATTAAAATACACCAAAATTTTTTATAATATTTTTTGACACAGTATAATCAGGCCATTTTGAAGTGATTTGAAAAATTTTTACTGTAAAAAAAAAAAAAAAAAAAAAAAGAATTATACGTAATTAAGTTTAAATTTAGCCGAAATTTATTACAGTTACGATCTCAACTTCTTAATGACGAAACATGCACAGCCCTGACAAACACGTATCTTCCAGACAGTTTAATGAACCAAAACATTGAATTTCCTCCCGATGGCATGAAAAAACAAAGTGGGTGTACTTGACGCGTTCTCACACTTTTCCGAATCATCGATCCGCTATTTGCAATTGAAATCGTGCATTTTCCCATCAGTTGAAAATCTATCATACGTTATTGGACGAAAAATCGAGTAGCTAACACGTATGGCTCCACTTTTTTGTCCAATTATTCAAGTATAGTTAAAAAAACGCTTTACAAATACACGCAAATGTTTTTGCTAAAGTATCGTCTCTTGGTTTGATTACGCACCGCTAATATGCATGTATCAATCAATAATCATTGAAAAAAACAAAAAATTGTAACGCAATTAATTTTACGAAATTGTAAAAGTTTTTATTTATTTTTTTTTTTATCTTCGAGCTTTCATTGAAATTAAAAAAAAAAAAATGTTCACCGTCGTCTGGCAATTTTTTGTTCTCTCGCTTACTCGAGACGAAACAACAACAACAACAACAGAAGAGGGCAAAGACCCCTCGAAAGTAAGGCTCGACGCATGACAATACAGAAGAATAATTTATTGCTACGAGCTTCATTTGACGAAAAACTCATAGACTCGTGCATACTTAGTTCGTGGACTCGAAAAAACTTGGCATTTTTCGTACACATGTACGAAACGGTTTGTCCGATAGCGCACGCGCTTGCATAACAACACACATACACACATATGCATTTATTAACGCCACGATTAAACGTATCGGCTCGACAAGACGAAGGAGGCAGTTGGTACTTGATAAAAGAAAGCGTTTCTCGACATCGCGGGTCATTATACGTTTTGCGTGCACACATACGTGCTCATACGATGATTTTCTGCGCCGCATCTGATCAGCCGATGGCCAAGAGGAAAAGCGATAAGGGGAAGAGGAGGAGGAGGAGGTGATCTCTCTCTCTCTCTCTCTTGTTATCATCGTTTGGCCTTATTAATTATTCAGGCTTTTTGTTACATTACCCCGTACCTATAACTTGACGGCTGCAAGGAAGATTATATACTTAGCGGCGTCTCGACCAAGGAAAATACCGATTCCAGACTTACCTTCTTAAAAAAAGTGTTAACTCTGAGGCAATATTTATTCTTTTTTGAAATTTCGCAGCACTGCCTGTTTTTATATTCCGTGGGAGGAATTAAAAAGGCTCAGACTTTTGACAATCCCATCAACCGTGGGGATATAAACGAAGGACATAATCAACTGGTCATTTTTGTGCCGCAATCAACTGCTCGTTCGGATGATTAATTGTAGTTACAAATTTTTTTTTTCCCATAAAATAAAATGGACAGGTACTCAAGTACTACAAAATCAAAAAAAAAAAAAAAAAAATAACACTGCCTCCCAGTTAATACTTTCTTCGAAGCAATAATTTTGCGTTGGCACTTACTTCGATCGAGGCGTCGATGCACGCCATATCCTATGTATAATTCATGCGGAGTAATGAAAAACAGCGACGACGCCGGCTTGTTTTGAAATCAAATGCTCGTCCGAGGAAGTCTCGGCGTTTGCAGTATACCGTACACAATAATATATACGTACATGCTTCCTATGGGTAATTGGCACTTTCTTTTGTCAAAATGAACATTTTACCGTACAATGTAATTTTGTTATAAATTTCTCATAAAGCTCCGGAAAAGCTTCTTTTTTTTTTTTTTCTTATTTTGTACATATTTGAAATTAAAGCAGTAGGTAGTTACGGTTTCCGGATTTAATTTTACTGCAAAATATATTGCATATATGTTGTACAATTATCGTGTTTAATGTCGAAGGTGCATTTGCGACTTACTTTTGTAATGCATGTATATAAACATGCAGTACAGAGTCATCGATAAGCGATAAAACTTTGCTGTCGACATGCGAGAAAATAAAAACAAAGGCGTAGGTACCTTTGCCGAATAATGCGATATTTACATTTTGTCTGAGTATACACGTTGTGATATATTACACATATAGACCCAACAACAAAAATATTGAGTACGTCGATGATATTCAACGTCTGCACTCTTTTGTTCGAAGCATCGACGAAGATTTTACAAGTTATCCTTAAACAAACTCATCTCGCGTCAAGTGAGAAAAAAAAAAAATACGTTGCGTGATTGGCGTGATAGATGTATGGAGTTTTGCCACGTCGCGCGTGACATCGATATTGCCAACATAGTTGCTTTTTGCAACATTTTAAACGTCATTTTATGCCTTTATCAGCCTTTAACTGGAATTTTCTAATTATAAAAGTAAACATAAACTCTTCAGTGACCTGCAGAAACTGCAAAAATTTTAATTTCTCTCCATACTCTTTGTGGGAAAAAAAAAAAAATTCCTAATTTTTTATTTGTGACCAATAAAAAAAAAAGTGTCGTGAATTTTTCTTCATTCAAAAATTGACACAGTTTTTTCGCATACAATGTCCAAAACAAATAATGATACAATTTATGGATAGTCTCCATTGTCTGGGCTTCTGTTGTCTTTCAATACATACATTATTTTCCTCGACTCTTAATTGGCATGGATTTAAATATAAATGAAAATTAATTCTTTGTCACGAGAAACACACATAGGCTTTTAAAAACCTCTACGATCAATATTTAATATCATCGTCGTATTTTAGTGCGAATAAAATTAAATTTCGTACTTGCAGGTGGTAGAATTTTTCATGCATCTATGCGTGTGATATCCAATCAAGAGATTTTAGAGATAACAAATAATGTGCACGTGCCTGACACCTGGCTCTCACGTGTCGTTTCGATAAAAGAGCAGTAAATGGTAGGAATTTGCCAACGACACGTTTTTAAAATTAATGTAAAACAAAATGAGAAACTAAAATACAAAAAAAGTAGGTCACACTTTACCAAATTCATGTGAGTACAAAAGTGTCGCCGTGTTTCTGAAGACATCAAAAGAATAAAAATCTGAGGCTTGAAAAAAAGTCCATTTTTTGCTTACAACACAATGCATATTATGATCTATTCATCTATATATTTGTAGATATTGAAAGTGAGCGTTAGTTATCGTTATTATATCATATTGATAAAAATGCTTGAGACACGAGCTTACGAGGAAAGGAGCGATTTATCACAAGTCAACTTCGTGATTACGAGAAAACACATGATGATTTTTAAAGGTATTTATCTCGTGATAGACTTTATTTAATTTTTAAAGAGAATCACATGAATTTACCTCAGAAACGTATGTATATACGTACTAATTAATCCAAATGTAATAGAGTTGAAAAAATTTCCAAATGAGACGATCGATCAATCATTTTAGAGTTGAAAAAAGTAAATTATTAACTTTCTTCGTTATGCTTGATTTTTTTTTTTTTTTTCTATCGAATTTTAGAAGATAAAAAAAACAAGGCTTGCACGTTTTTCAACAGTTTGGAGTGCATGTGCCGGCGAGTGCATCCATCTGACAGAGCAGCTGTTATCACTCTCGTGCAGCGAGTTTCCCCCGCTACTCCTCCTCATCCTCGTCGACGCTCGCGGGGAGTTACCCCAGAGAGAGACTTATAACACCTAAGCCACTTTGACTCCGCGCTTATTCCTCTTCTTTCTCCCGGTGGCGTAGTAAGTTCCATCGATTGGTGCATCGAGTTCGTTTGTTCCGTAATGTGTACCGCGTGCGCTTAATTCTTCGTTTATAAACTAAAATTCACGTTTTATCATAGAAGAAAGCATACATTGTTTGGCTTTATATTATATTATTGGCAACTTTCTTCAAAGGTTAAGTTGCCAGTTCGATTTTCGTCCATCGATCTGTCGACACACAGAGGAATGCCAAAGGACTGCCGAGACTGTTTGGGTATCAGATACCGCATCAACACCCTGGATCACACCTGGAAGTGGCTGCACCAGACTCCATCCCTTCACGATTATCTTATCTCCATCACTGCCAGTGAAGCTAATTTCAATTCTCTGATCTGTCGCTGTGTGTGCTAAATTACCTTATTTTCTTTTATTGCATATTTGAAGTCATACATGTACGAGTTGTTGGCTCAATTTTGCTCCGAAATCTTGTAGACTGTATATTTGTACTTGTTGTTATTTTGGTTAGTGAGTTGCTTTATTTTTCTCTGTTTCGTTGCCAAAAACGAAGGAAGAGACATTACATATTATAAAGTGTGCAGAGATACAGAACAGTCAACAAGTTACAGACTCACACACACACACACACACACAGCTACGTTTTTTAGGCTTCATCGGTCTAAAGACTAATTATTATTTAATCAACAATTACGTTAAGTAAGAGGATATTAGTACATTAGGTAACAACAAAGCCAAAGAATGTCTGTGATTACTGGTACAGCCAACATCCTTGCAGGTGCCAAGGCCATTCGCACCAAGTTTGGGTATGTATAATGTAAATTTAAGGTCCAAATATCAAAGAGAATATTGTTACAAATTATCTAAACGTGATTGAATGCTGTTCGATTTTAAATTAAAAAGTTCAAGTTGACCACGTGAAATGGTAATAACTGCATTTGCGTTCTAAGTATGCATCTATCCATTTACAATACATGCAACGCGATTGCTGCAATGTGCATCGAAATCACAAATGCTTGCTGTTTGTCATTCATTGCTAGAGAAACTTGACTTTCTAATTCAGTTGACGAGAAATCATGTTCAACACTGTTTGCTTGAGGAAATAACTTCAAACGTTGATTTTCCAACTTTGTTACAGTTCTCTGTCCGTTGTTTTCCAACGTCATGTCTCCTCCAAGAGTTCGGTGAAGAGCGTGCCTGAAGAGGAAATTAAGAAATCGGTATTCATCTCGCAGTCGAACGACATTTTTACAAACTTGGCCCTAGAAGACTGGATTTACCGCAACTACGATTTAACCAAGCACCATGTTCTGCTGCTCTGGAAGAACAACCCGTGCGTTGTGATCGGACGCCACCAGAATCCTTGGGTCGAGTGCAACGTACCCGCAATCGAGCGCAACGAAGTCGCTTTGGCAAGACGCAACAGCGGCGGTGGCACGGTCTATCATGACCAGGGCAACTTGAACCTGTCGTTCTTTACCCCAAGAGAACGTTACAATCGAAGATACAACTTAGATATAATTACCAGGGCCTTGTTTCGGGAGTGCGGATTGAACGCTGTTGTTAACGAAAAGGACGACATCGTCGTGCAGAATCAATTCAAGGTGTCTGGTACGGCTGCAAAGTTAGGACGACCTAACGCTTATCACCACTGTACTCTGTTAGTTAATGCCAGTAAGCGTGCGCTCAGATTGGCTCTTAAGAAAGTAGAGGTGAGATTTCTTATTGGGTACTTGGGTCGAGATTTTTCTTGTCATTGAGAAAGTGGTTTTTCTAGACTGGAATAACCACAAAAGCCACCGAATCCGTTCGATCTCCGGTAAAGAATCTAATTGAAGTAAACCCTCATATCACGTCTGACCAGTTACTCAATGCTGTGGGCTGGGAATATCTGCGCACAAAATCCTTGACGTTGGAAGATGGTAGATACAAGCTGGTCGAGCAACAGAGAGGATTTAAGATGATCAATCCCACCGAAGAATGGTTTCCAGGTAAACTTATTTGTGACGTGAAAGCACAACTCTATTTCCAATAATCATTATTATTTTTTCATTTCTTTCAGGTATCGACAAACTCAAGGAAGAGTTCCAATCCTGGGATTGGATCTATGGAAAAACGCCAGATTTCACAGTCACCCGTCTGCTTGAAGCTCAAACTCGAGGAGGTCGCGAGCATTTCATGAAACTTATAATCGAAGTAGAAAAAAGCATTGTAAAGGATATTAAAATGACACTACCTTCAAACTTTGATCGCGATGCTAGTGTGATCACCAACTTGCAGGGAACACGATATAATCACGAGCTCACTGACAGAATCGTCGAGGCTACAGGTTGCAAAGTCGTGGCGTCCGATGTTACAGCTCAAAGTAGTGTTGCTGCTATCTAACAATGATCTTTTCGATGATCCTACAAAAGATGCCTGAATCCATTGTTACTGTTGTTGTTAACTACATATTATTTTTGTACAACGTATAAATATTTGTAAATTGTGAATATTGTGAATGACGATTTTTAAAAAGCTACAGTTGTATAACATTTTGTTACTTTTATTTAGAAGAATATATTTATATATATATATACATAATGTTACATACACATTTGAGAAGTGTTTTGGCCTAGAGTACAAAGCCACGCAGAGTGTGCTTGTATTCTTGTTTTTATTCGTGTACAATGTAATGATAGTACTTGTTTGTGATAAAAGTAGAGTAGTACAGTAATCATGTGATTGCCTTGCTTATTCTCGCGCATCAATACAGTTCAGAACGGTTTTTTTTTTTTTTTTTTATTCCATGATGTTATTTCGCATTATTTCGCACTCGACGCGTTATCTCGTACAGACTTTCCTGGCCCTTATACACTCTAGACTCGCTCTCGATTTTGATCTCTTTGTATACGATCCAGCAGTGCTTTTTAGACTAGAAAACTAATATATTATTATGATAATATTGTGGTTTTATTATCGCAAAGTTCAAAACAATCGCAACGAAGGTAGTTTGGAGGAAACGGTGAGTAAGCCGAGAATTGCTGTAAGCGTCGAGCGACGAGGCGAACACTGCAAAGAGTCAATTTATTCGTGTTTTTTATTTAGCTCGTGAACATATTAAAAATAAAAAAAAGTACGAGGCGAAGCGCGGGGAGATAAGGAAGCACTGGGTTGAGAAACTGATACGTCAATGGCACAAAGAGTTCTGGAACAACAGTTCTCTCTCGCTGTTGGTAAAAAGCAAAAATTATAATACAAAAGTGATTCTCGTATGGTTTATCTCGGCGACGCTGGCAAAATTTTTCGGATAAACCAATAAAATCTATAATTGACGCGGTCTTAATCAGTAAAGATAATCACGTAAAAAAAAAAAAAAATACTTGTCGAAATTCAGATCTTTTTCAATGATCGATGTAATTTTTAAATCCTAATTTTTTAAAAATTTGATTATAATCGTCGAGTCCGAAAATATTAATTTTTCCATCGAATCGTTTTGATGTTCTTAAAAAGAGTTTATTTTTTT